TATGTGGAAGTTCGTAGATGTCCCTTCAGGGCCACCATATTCGTGTACAGTACGTGCATGAAAAGGATGAATTTTTTACACACCCTCTTATGAAGGACAAAGTAGAAATTGCTAAACAAATGTATAGTGAATTTCATATGTGACTCCCATTCCTCAAACCCACATAAAGTGGCCAGATATATGTGCTATGAGCCAAAATGTGTGAATTATAGTAGGCTTGTTGCATTTTGAGGTACGATGATTACTAAGGACACATATTCCTTGGATCGAAAGAAAAAAAAATTCATCCAAACTCTGTATCTATGCAAATTAGGTCTAACTTCCATAATTTATGCAAATTTATTCTTTGTAATAGGATATTCCATTACAATGGGTTCTTTATTGACACATTTAAAAGAGAACATATTTTTTGGATCAAAAGATTTGTTTTGTTAAGCTCTGTTTATATGCAAATTAGGCCTAATTTGCATAATTTATTCAAATGTATCAAAGGCATCGTTTAACAATGTTAAATCTGAGATGCACGGCCCTACGTGTTATCAGTGTCTGTGATATTGTGTAATATTGAAGCCCTAAAAAAAATCGCGCTTCAAAATGATCAAGAAGTGCCTCAAAAAAGTTTTTAAAAATCAGTGACCGGTTTTACCAAACCTGTTTTCCCCAACAGACTGTAGTGTTATTTTCAAATCATAAATATCTTAATAATCAGACAGGCGATCGGCTTGTAAAATTCATGGGGTTCCTGACTTACCTAAAGGTTTATAATTATCATTGCAGCATGAGCTAACTCCAGGATTTTGTTTCAGAATCTAAAACAAAGTTACCGGATCCCTTTAATGGAAATGGAAAATCTATTACAATGGTGTTTTTATCAAGATATTGGAATTTACATGTTCCTTGGATCAAAAAAGAAAATTCAGCCAGAGACACTCTGTATGTATGCAAATAAGCAAATTAGGCTTTATTTTGTGAGATAATGAAAAACTGAGTGTAAGACTTGAAAATGTCTACAATTTTAATGACAGACATCAAATGCATAAGTTTGTATGAAAAATGGTTGAAACCAATGCTTTTTAGAGAGCACCCTCTTTTGTTTGAATGGCTCTTTTTAAAATAATGATGGGCCTTTTACGAAGTCACTATTTTCTTTACCTTTCGAGCTTGGTGGTGTTGAACTTATTTGTTTGTAATGTTATTGTGCATGTTTTGGATACTATAGCTCGGCCTTGCCAAAACTATACCATCCCTTTAATGTAATCAGTGTAAAGGCATATCTTTTCAATGCTACACATTGATGATTTAGGGAGTAGAGAGAAATTAATGAACAGATGGATTTGTGATGTAACCAGTTGATTTTTCAACAAAATTAATATGTCCAACAGATAGGGTGCCCTTTCCAATGAAAACGATACCAAGAATAGTCCTTTTGGTCGTGTAGTTTTGCATTAGTGCTCTTAGAGTGACACCATGTCAGGTTCCCTTTTTTTGTCAATTTTTACCAAGTCAGTGCGCCTTAGCGTCGAACAATGAGCAATACGTATGCCATTGTTAGTGTGCATTTAGCTGTTTGCCAATAATGGGCATAGTTGCTCGATGATATGATGACAGGAACTGCGATTTATCAGGAAGTGACTTGGTAAAAATGGCAAAAGTGGGAACCTGACATGGTCTTACTTAAGACGTCCTACAAAAAAAACTACTCGTTCCAAAATTACTGTTCTTGGTATCATTTCTCATCTGAACGGACATTCTATCCGGTGGACACAATCACTTTGTTACTTTATTTTGGAAAGTACCCCATTGCATTGTTGTTGTTGTTGTGTTTTTTTTTGTGTTTTTTTTTTGTGTTTTTTTTTTGGGGGGGGCTCCCTGTTTATACATAAACCGTTGTTATCAGAGCTAGTTTAAAAGTTGTTTCAAAGTAATTTGTAATGAGTGTAACAATGACAATTTTGTTTTCCTTCTATTTTTTTTAATATAATGTTTAAATATCTGCATTACTGAAATGATCTTTGAATTTATCAAATATTTCTATAACTAGAATATTCATGTTCCTATGATAATATTTTGAAATACATAAGTCTTCCATATGTATTCATTTAATTCAAATAGTAATACAGACCTTTCACTCTGTAATAACAAGCATTTTCACTTTCTTAAACCCATGTTACATTAACCCATTTATGAGTGGTCCCCAAAATGTCCTGAACAGGGGAACATGGACTGCAATTGATTACCAGCACTTGCAAGAGTAATAATAAAGTGAATATCATATAATTATATTGAATAAAAACTACTTTGTTGTTTCAAAGATTTGATTATGATTGATATACATTGTTCTGTATGAGATAAGTGTGACATTCAACAAACCTTAGACAGATCAAGGTATGGCAATTGTATACCTCTGAAAGAGTAAAGTGTGGCGATCGACGAACCTTGGTAACAATATGGTGTGGAGATCGACGAACCTTTGAAAGAGTAAAGTGTGGCAATCGACGAACCTAAGTAAGAGTATGGTGTGGCGATCGACAAACATTGGAAAGATTTAAGTGTGGCGATCGACGAACCTTAGTAAGAGTATGGTGTGGCGATCGACAAACATTGGAAAGAGTAAAGTGTGGCGATCGACGAACCTTAGTAAGAGTAAAGTGTAGCAATCGACAAACCTTTGACAGATCAAGGTGTGGCGATCGACAAACCATGGACAGATCAAGGTGTGGCAATCGACAAACCTTGGACAGATCAAC